GTTTTAGTTGTATTATTTTGGTATTCTTTGGTTTATTTAAATCATATTACTAAATGATGAGTGTAAGTCTCTTGGTTATTTCAGTTGATAATTGGAATTGATTATCACTGGGTTGATTGGAACTGATTGATTGATCATTGATTATTGGTTTTTTTGGGGGGGGCTGACATTACAAACAGTAGAAACTTGACAGGCCTGCCTACCCTCAGCAATGGATTCTGTATTGACCATTTATGTTGATATTAGGGACATTTTCACATAGAAGAGTCGGCAGTATTGGTTTCACAAAATGCTGTGCTCTCTGGGACTGGAAGTGGGCAGTGATTCCAGGGTGTGTTTGTTTCCAGCTCTGGTGGTTATTGCCGTGAAAAATAAAAATGTTGGGCCGGGCGCGGTGGCTCAAGCCTGTAATCCCAGCACTTTGGGAGGCCGAGGCGGGCGGATCACGAGGTCAAGAGATGGAGACCATCCTGGTCAACATGGTGAAACCCCGTCTCTACTAAAAATACAAAAAATTAGCTGGGCATGGTGGCACGTGCCTGTAATCCCAGCTACTCAGGAGGCTGAGGCAGGAGAATTGCCTGAACGCAGGAGGCGGAGGTTGCGGTGAGCCGAGATCGTGCCATTGCACTCCAGCCTGGGTAACAAGAGCGAAACTCCGTCTCAAAAAAACAAAACAAAACAAAACAAAACAAAACAAAAAAAAAGATGTTTCCCTCTAAATAAAAAAAAAAAAAAAAATAGGTCACCGTGTGGCTGCGCTCAGGTGGAGGCTGCAGTCGTGTGTACCAGGTCTTTCACTCCATTTTCCTTCCTCTGCACTGTGGCTCCCTAGACTGCACCTGCGCAGAGAACTCAGTGCCGAGGTTGCTCCAGAAAAAAATGTTAGAAAATTCACCATGGCCACTGCCAGAAAGAACAATTTATGGCGTTTTGTTTTCAAGCTCCCAATTTGGCTGTATACTTTACCTCGAGTGGGCCTTGATTTCTGAATCTTGGTTAAACTCTGTAGGTTTAATCTATTAGCCTGAAAAATACTGGGCAGCTGCTGGCCGAGCACAGTGGCTCACGCCTGTAATCCTAGCACTTCAGGAGGCAAGGCGGGCGGTTTGCTTGAGCTCAGGAGTTTGAGACCAGCCTGGGCAACGTAGCGAGACTTCCATCTCTACGAAAACAAAGAAACAAACCAAAAACCCAAAATGTGGCTCGATTCTGTAGTCCCGGCTACTCAGGAGGCCAAGGCAGGAAAGTCGCTTGAGCTCATGAGGTTGCGCCTGCAATGAGCAGAGGTCGCGCCTGCAATGAGCAGAGGTCTCACCACTGCTTGATCCTGCCTGGGTGACAGGAGTGAGACTCTGTCTCTAAATAAGTAAGTATTAGGCAGCTGCATTACCCGTTTACCTGCTTATTACTATAGTAATCAGTTATATTCTCTTGTTTGGAATTAATACGATGAGTACCTCCCCACTCAACTTAATTCATTTAGTCACAGATAACTATACTAAAAATCAGCAACAGAAGAAATACCAAGAAGCAGCCATTCCAGCATTAGGAGCTATTCCTATTAGTGAAGTAAACCAAATGTTCTTTCTTGCAGCCAGAGAACTTTACACCAAAAACCGAGTTGTATGTGGACATACTAACATCAAGGATTTATTAGTTTTTGAATTCATAATTTTCACCATGTTTAATTTTTCCATCTCTCTTATTAATACCCAGCATTGAGATGTGAACAAATGAAAGTTGATCTCTTTTAGATTATGTTCAATTAATATTGTACATATTCTCAAATACTAGTTGCTAATGGACAGAATAAATAAAATACTACATTACCATATAATAGACTTCAAAAAAAAAGTTTCATTATATTGCATAGCGTTGTGATGAATGCGTTTCTGATCTTCGGTCAGATTAGTTATACCCAACAGCTGTATTACTTTTCTGAGGATATTATGAAAACAGTAGTTAGGCTTTTTTTTTCTCCCCCTTTTTGCAAAGCAAAATGGAAGGGGCAAAAAGAGAGCTGAGGGGTAAATGATGCTTTCTCAACACAAAGCAAATAATTTTTAGGAATATGATAGTAATTCTTATAGGCGGTTTCTTTTACTTGTGAAAATGATAATAATTTGTTTATCGTACATTTCAAACATAAAGCAATGTTGATGCCAGTCAAATGCATTCCCCTTGATTGAATCCAATGATGAAATGCGTCACTTATATTTCAGATGATTAAAAAAATAAATTCCCTTTTACTCTAGTGATCTTATTAAACCTTAAGAGACAAAAGCATGGCTATTAATCACAACTGTATTTAATGAATGATTCTAATGTTATTTTCAGGCATTGGCTTTTTTGTTTATTAAATTGCAAAAGATTTCTTGAAAATGCACTCCGACTTCTGTAAAGTGAATCATATCTAGGCTTTGCCTTCATAGAGCTTATAGTCTAATAGGGGAGAGATATTTATAGAAAGAACTAATGGACTACGGATAATGCAGATGGTTTTAAATCATTTTCTGTAAAAACAACACAAATAATTTGCGACCATAATATGTTCTGAAATAGTTGAAGAAGAATATATTACAAATGAGGTTTTTTCCCCCCGCAAATATAACCTCAAGATTTTATCGTCTTCATAATAAAACAAAAGATGACGCTTAGAACTAGTTAATTTGGCTCTTTCTCATCTTTTCTCCTCCCAGTTCAAAATGCTTGCATCCCTTAACAGCCAGCATTCTCTTAGATTTGCAATTGGGCTTCAAGGAGCACAATCTTCTTTTTAGCTGTAGCCTTTTGCCAGAATTCCAGAAAATGGGTTTAGTATGTCCACCATAGCCACTCTGCTTCCTGTCATAATACTGCTTACCCTGGACATACACAGAATCCTTGTATCAGAGGCAGGAGGCAGAGAAATTCTATGCAGACGGGGTGGGTCCCTGGTGGAACCCCACCATCAAAAACGAAAACAAAAACAGCCTGAAATCCGTAGCCCAAAGCAAGAACTTCTATTCCTGTTTGCCCACTCTCTTCTGGTTGCTTCTTTCTGAATAATGCCTTTTTAGCAATCGAACATTGCCTTTTCAAAAACCACCTATGGCCTGCCCTGCCCCCATCCTGTGCCTATAAAGACCCCAGACTGAGTTGGTAGAGAAAGAGAGAGAGATGGCCTGACTTCAGGGTAGGGACAGCTTGACTTTGGGGAAGACGATCTGCGCCTCCTGTCCCCTTCCCAGCTCCCCTCTCTGCTGAAAGCTGTTTTCTTTGCTCAATAAACTTCTCCACCTTCATTATCTTTCAACTTTCCATGTGACCTCTTCTTCTTGAATGCTGGACAAGCGCTTGGGACCCACCAAGTGCCGGTACCCGGAAAGGCTGCCACACCGTGCCTTTGCCCTTTCCAGTGGAGGGCAGCTGCCCATCGTGATGAGGCAAGGGGCTAGCTGAGGTGCTAACACACCGCAGTCCGTGAGCAGTGGAACTAAAGGAGCACTGTAACACTCCCTCTGGGGCTTCAGGGTTGCAGGCACCCTCCCCTGGATGCTACCTCAAGGGCCAGCTGAGCTGCTAACACACTGCTCTCTATGGATGTCAGAACTAAAGGAGCACTGTATCGCCCTTTCTGGGGTTTCGGGGTCGTGGGCACCCTCACCTGGGCACAGCCATGTTCCCCTTGAAGCGACACGCCTGGTCTGGCTGTGGGCCCCACACAGAGCTTGCTCCTGTGTCGGCTCCTGGAGCGGCTGGCCAGGTCCACACTCCCTCGCTCATGTGTTCCCACCACAAGGGGTTGAGTGCTGCAGGCCGAGTAGAGGGGGATCCCCTGCCATGAGTCTGGCGAAGGGGCTGAGAAAAATCCTGCATCGCTTGCTTTTCTTTACTGTGCGTTATGTAGGGTTGGTGCTTGCCACACTTGTCACAGAAAGTTTGACGGCTTTCAGCATGTTCACCATGTTTGCAGGAGTCCTATTGGAACAGAAAGAAAAATGAGCCTTTTTAGGTGTCCTAAGACACTGTTAGTCTCTGCTTCTTGCCCCGTTAGTGGGACTTTCTGATTATGAAGAATTACAACTTGCTGCAGCTCAGCTTTGAAGGAAGTTCATTTCTTCTTTTGCCTCTGTTCAGTGGGTGGGGAATTTTGTGATGAGGTAGATTTGCTAAGGAGACACCATTACAGATTCTTATCTTTTCCAGGGCTCATGTGCCCCTTTGCTTTGCCACTTTTGTTGTTATTTTTGAGACAGGTCCTTACTCTGTCGCTCAGGCTGGAGTGCAGTGGTGTGATCTTGGCTCACTGTAAACTCTGCCTACCGAGTTCACATGATTTTCCCACCTTAGCCTCCCAAGTACCTGGGAGTACAGGCATGAGCCACCACACCTGGCTAATTTCTTTTTTGGATTTATTTGGTAGAGATGGTGTTTCACCATGTTGGTCAGGCTAGTGTCGAACTCCGACCTCAAGTGACCTACCCGCCTTGATCTGCAAAAGTGCTGGGATTACAGGCGTGAGCCACTGCGTCCGGCCACATTTTTATTATTTTAAATAACAAAGGGCATTTTTGTTACTCCCTCCAAGGGAGTAGCTTTTACATTAATACCTTTTTTGAAAAGTAACTTTAATAAAGATGTAAAAAAACTTTCTAAAGTTTTGTTTGATGATAACCTTTTATGAATTTAAAACATTTTAATTCAGATTATATAGCCAATTCTAAATTCAAGACTGGGCGCAGTGGCTTACATCTGCAATCCCAGCACTTTGGGAGGCCAAGGTGGGCAGCTAGCTTGAGCTTAGGAGATCCAGACCAACATAGGCAGCATGGTGAAACCCCATCTCTACTTTAAAAAAAAAAAAGGGTGAGAGTGGAAGTGCGTGCCTCTAGTCCCAGCCACTCTGGAGGTTGCGCCTGGGGGGCAGAGGTTGCAGTGAGCCGAGATCATGGCCCTGCATGCCTGTCTGACAGAGTGAGACCCTGCCTCAAATAAATAAATAAATAAATAAACAAACAAACAAACAAACAAATGCATGCATGCATGCATTCATTCATTCATTTGGCTGTGTCTTCCACCTGAAACCAGGTTGGGATCTCATAGTACTACAGCTCACATAGCATTTAGGTAGATGAAGTCAGAAATAAGCCCAGCTCCCATAGCATTTAGGTAGATGGAGCTAGAAATAAGCCCGAGTATGCTTTTTCCTTCAGGACTTCTTAACACTAAGTTAGAAAACATAAGTGTTTCATAAACCTTATTCCTTTAATTAAATTTTTAGTATGAACCAGAATTGTAAATTTCTTCCTTCCCTACCCTAGAATATAGATGCATGTCCCCATTTAATTTTAGTCATTCTTGGTGAATGTGATAATTCGGGTAAAGTACACTGAGATGTGCAGACTGGATGGAGAATTCAGTAAATGTAACAGCTGATCAGGGCTTCTCTTCTTAGTGTCCCTTTATTGAGATCTTCTAATATACTGATATATTCTTTAATTTCCTCCCCAGCCCCACCTTTTCTTTTCTCTCTGCCCTTATTGAAAGATACTAACTTCTACAGTGTTGCTGTGAGTAGAGTATCAGGATATTGATCTTAGGGGAGGTGACCTAATTATAGATTTGTTTTTTCGTTTTATGAGGATATTCTTCATAATAGGAATATGTAATACATGCCATATACTTGAGGTTACTTTTGTTAATCCCTTTAAGAACAGAGTGCTTTACTTCACCTTGCTTAGCAAGAAGGGAAGGGAATAATTAGTTCAGATGCTTCATCCTGTGCAAAGTGAGGCATATATGCAGTGATCTGACTTCCGTAAGTCTTGCTCATCTGACCTTCCTTTGGTTCTTAAAGTTACACTGAAGACTAAACTCTAACCTTTTCTCTCTCTTGCTCAACTTAACTAAGATATCTAGGGAGTCACACCCTAAGAACCATAAAAATCTCATTAGATGGGTTTTATTATATGTATGATATGCCTTACTTTTCAACGTGAGTCTTGCATAACATCACACGACAGATAAGAAAAATCAAAATATTTTACCCTAAAATATGTGGTTTTTATGGCCATATCTTAAAATGGCCTTCCAAAGCCATTTTTTAGGGGGGGAAATTTGCATCTGAGAGTCTGTCACTTTAAAGCTCTAGATAGGAGACATTTGCCGTTTATTTGTCTCTAAGGGTGGCCACTTATGAGACCTCTTCTGCAGAATAACCTTGGTCTCCATAACCCCATTTCTTAACCCAGTCAGTTCTTTCTGTTGATTCCAGGTCTCAGATAATAACTCTTTTGACCAGTTGCCAGTCGGAAAATCTTGGAATCTACCTATAAGCTGTGCGACCCTCCCCCAACCTGCCCTGCAATTATCCTACCTTTCTGCACCAATCCAGTATATACCTCCCATGTACTGATTGATGTCTTATGTTTCCCGAAAACATATGCAATTGAACTGTAACCCACTGACTTTGGGCAGATGTTCTCAGGACCTCTTGAGACTGTGCCTGGAGCCATGGTCACTCGTATTTAGCTCATAATAAACCTCTTTAAATATTTTAGAGTTTGACTCTTTTTGTTGACAACACAAAAAATACCACTGAACCTTAAACTTTGTGTTATAGGGAAGTGTCATCCCAAAGACCCACAGGATGGCTAAATAGCAGAAGGGAGAACTTTTACTGGTAGTACTGGTTTGTAAGCTGGGAGGAGGAAGTCTCCAGCATGGACTGAAGGGGCTGTCTCTTTGAAGAGGAAGAGGACAGACTGCGTTTTATGGCTCCCCAGTTCTGTATTACACAGTGGAGTCATACCCATTCAGCAGGTGTGGGGGAAAAGCTATACATATTTATGAGAGGAGCTGCATATACCTCATATTCACTTTGAGGTGGGGTTTTAGCATTAAAATGAGGCGGAATTTCACCATGTGGAAAGGTGAACAATACACACAAAGACTTTGTGTGGCCACTATAAGCTAGCTGGAGCTGGTTTCTGGTCTCTGGTGGCTTATCAGAAAAGAATGTTTATAAGGCCAGTCATCTGTCTAATCAGGTGGCCTGGGTTGTAAATCAGTTCTGATAATTTACCTGATAGCTCCTATTGTTAAGGAGTTAAACACGAAGGTGGTTATTCTTGTAACCATAGGAATTCAGAAAAATGCCATGCCAGCCAGGCCCTGAACCCTTGACCCATAGGTAACAGTTTCCTTAACCTTAGGGTTTGTCTTAGTTGATTAAGGGGCATCATTTTGATCTTGCAGGTAAAGGAGGAAAAAAAATCTCTTCCACTACCCTCTTAGGCTCAGTAGTCGGGGCTTATGAATCAGAAATGACAAAGGACAGATTAACAAGAATAAAAACATACGTATAATTACATATGGATATACAATATTTAAAAAATGAATGTGACTTGCGGACACAGTTAGAATTGGGGGCTTATATACCATTATAACAAAGGGAACCAAGTATAGAGAAGAGTCTTGTTAGAAAAAGAAGAAAGGGTTTGGGGCTTCTTGAAGGTACATCCTGAGAAAGGGACTCAGGATACAGTAAAGAAGGGTCATTTGTAAGGTTTTTTGAAATGCAAACTAGAGTCTTTTCAGGTGCTAGAGTTGCCTTCAGCGTAGTTCTCTCCCTGATACTGGAGAGGGAGACACCCTTACAAATGGAACCTTATGTCCTGGTTTTAGTAAGATGGGGGAAGGACAGGAAGCTTTTTTTCTGTCTGCTTTTTCTTAAATGCTTTCAGCTCAAAATAGTCCTTATGCTCTACCAGCATATTTTGGATGGTGCATTCTTGTCCCCTGCCGTGAGGAGATAAGTTTCAAGGTGACTGATAATATTACACAGGGCTTTATAAGGACCATTAGTCCCATATTTAGACAACTGCAGTGAGTTCTCTCCTATTTGAACTCAGAGCGTTAATTTTCTTCTGCTGCATTTCACTTTAAAAAATACTAATTTTAAGGTATATTTTGTAATGTGTGCAATATAGTCCTGTAGTACTGCATGTATATGATTATATGTAATCATATGCATTTACATGTAACTGCATGTATTTGGGGTAAATGAGGGCTTTTCTGTTCTTCGCTTTTGTTTTCCTTGGTGAGTGCCTTTATAAAATGTCTAGTGGCCACCAGTCTGTGAGCTCGTTTGTATTTATTAATGTACAAATAATGCCCTCAAGTTTTATTTATGTGTTCATGTGTATTTCTGTATAATTTGTGTATCTCAGTGGAGGGTGGCCTCTCCAACTTCATGTGTATTCTCTGAAGCAAAAATTCCTCTTGGTATCTGACCCTCATCTAAGCCTATATTGTATGCGTAATAGGCGCAAAATAAATATCCATTAATGAATTTCAAAAATCATATTTAAAAGGAAGTTGTTGATTTTCATCATTTACTGCAAAATTTTTTATAGATTCATTACATAGCAGTTAGAATGGTGGTGGTAGATGGAGTAGATAAGTTAGAAATTCAGTAGAGAAGTAATAGGTGACATCTACAAAAGGAAGAGAAGAATCAATATATATGGCTTACCGAGATTATTTATTATGAGGCCCCACAGCTTGATGGATCTTGGTAACCCCTAGCTTAGCGCATTATTATACTGAAGCAAAGGGCAGTGACAGATGATTTCCAGTAATGACTCTGTCTTTACTTTGACCTTGGGCAAGCCGTTTAATCTTTCGGATCCTCAGTTTCCTCTTTTACAAGATGAAATGACAGGGCTAGAAAGCTTTTCATATCTTCTAAAAATTTGGAATTCTACATGTCCTCTGATTATCTGAGGCAGTCACCTTACAAAATCACTTAGATTTGCTGTATTCCCTATAATAAGAAAAGTAAGCATGACATGGAAACACTTTTGTTAGAATTATTACTCCTTTTGCTTTTTTCTTTCTTTCTTTCTTTCTTTTTTTTTTTTTTGTGGACCAAAAATGATTTGGGATGTAGCTCAGGTTTTTGATTAAAAGGACAAATTTGGATGAATAGGTGAAAGCTATTATGAATTAAAGTTTAATAATAATAACATGGCATTCAGTGATTAAACAGGAAGTTCTGAAGTAGTGAACTCCCTATCCCTGCATCGGATGAAATAAAGCAGAAGTCACATGACCACTTACCAGGAATATTGTAGAAAATACTGACCTCCATTCAAACAGGCAACCTTCCTATCCAAGAGAAGCTCTCCTAATGTTGGGAACTCACTGAGGTTATATAAAGCAGGTTAGGCAGGTAGATAGGGAGGTACTGTTGATGACATCTGTGTCCTCTTAGTCTTAATCTTGAGGTGATGCCTTCTAAGGAGCTTGTCAGGATGCAGCCTTACCGCAGCTGCTGGAAAACTCTTCCTTTCCTCTTGCTCTGTTTTGGTGTCAAGGCAAAGGGAGTTTCTTCTTTATTTTCTTAGTGTCTTATCCAACAAAGTAGTAGTACAAACTACTACTTTGTAGTAAATAGCTACAAAGATAGTTATTTACAATTTGGAGTATCTTCTTTCAGTTTTTCTATGCATGTACCTTCCTTATGACAATTGGACACAGTTTACACCCTGTTCTGTGACTTGCTACTTTCTTGAAACCATGTATTGTGGACACATTTCCTTGTCAGCATTTGTAGATCTCTGTAATTCTCTGTTATTTACTGCACGCCAGCACTTTCAAAGTGCCTTTCACATATTAACAACATTTAATCCTCACAACAGCCTCATGAGGTGGGAACTTCTATTGTAGGTGAAGACGGTGGAGCAGAGAGAGGCGAAGTAATTCCGCGACCGTTGTGTAGTCAGTCAATAGGAGAGCCAGCGTTAGAACCCAGGCAGCCTGGCTCAAGTCCGGGCGCGTAACCATTTTCCTACGGGCTTCTCTAATGACGGTGGCATTCTTTTATGTGCCTGTGCCATGGTTCATGTTAGCTGCTCCTCATGGTTGTACTTTTAGTCCCCTCCTGTTTCCTTTTTGCTACTACAATGTGCCAGGCGTAGTCTAAGTCTGGTAACATCTGTGTGGACTAAAATATACAAAAATCTCATCTTCATGAAGCTCATGCTCTGGAGGCGGGAGGTGGATGGAGACACACTGTTAGAAGGTTAAATTGGGTGGGCGCCGTGGCTCACCACTGTAATCCCGGCACTTTGGAGGCTGAGGTGGGCAGATAGCTTGAGCTCAGGAGTTAGAGACCAGGTTGGGCAAAACCCGATGTCTAAAACACAAAAAATCAAGAAGTGTCCAGGGCATGGTGGCATGTGCCTGTAGTCCCAGCTATTTGGGAGGCCGAGGTGGGAGGATCACTTGAGCCTGAAATGGAGCCAGGCCCTGTCTCAAAAAAGAAGAAAGAAAAAAAATTACATAGTAGAGGAGCAAGTGAGAAATACTTTGAAAAAGAAATAGGCTGGGTGCAGTGGCTCACGCCTATAATCCCAGCACTTTGGGAGGCCGAGGTGGATGGATCTCTTGAGGTCAGGAGTTTAAGATCAGCCTGGCCAACATGGTGAAACCCCGTGTCTACTAAAAATAAAAAATTAGCCAGACGTGGTGGCACATGCCTGTAATCCTAGCTACTTGGGAGGCTGAGGCAGGAGAATGGCTTGAACCCGGGAGGCGGAGGTTGTAGTGAGCCAAGATTGTGCCACTGCACTCCAGCCTGGGTGAAGAAGTGAGACTCCATCTCAGAAAAAGAAAAGAGATAAAGCAGGGAAGCAGCCCGTGGGGTTGCTGTGGGGTATAAGAGTTTAAACAGGTGAGAGGGTGATGTGAGCAAAGTCTAGGCAGATGATGGAAACTGACCATCTGGACATCTGGGCAAAGAGTGTATCAGTGGAGGAAGTGGCAGTGCCAGGGCGTAACGTAGGTGAACACATGACTTTTTCTCAGGGACACTCAGAAGGCCTGTGTGGCTGGAAAACAGTGAATGAGCAAAGTAGGAGAAGATAAGGGAAGGAACACAGAAGGGAGGGATGCCCAGGTGGTTAGAGCCTTGTAGGCCATTCTTAAAAACTATTAGGCCCTGTGAGATGATGATCCATGAAAAGTTTCTATATTAAAAAGGTCACTGCTGTGTTGAGAGCAAAGTCTAACAGAACGAAGATAGAAGGCAGCAGGGAAAAAGTGTTACCGGCTTAGACCACAGGGCTAGCTATGGGGATGGCGGTAAGTGGTTTAAACCTGGAGATATTTCTGAGGTATGTTGAAACCTGGTGTGTTTCAGAGTGGGACTTGCTGATGAATTGAGTTTGAGAGAACAAGTTAAGAGTAATTCTAAGAGTTTCGGGAAGAACTGAATGGACTTGCTGTTGACTGATGGCGATTAACTTGTACGAATGGCTTGATGTGGAATTTTAAAATCAAAGAACAAACTTTAGATACAGCTTTTAAGTCACCAGCCTGAGAAACTAGGTAGTATATATGCTTCATTACCTTGAAGGATTGACGTTTCAGTTTTAGAGGACTGGAAACGTGTCACAGAGACAAGCTGTCTGTCATGTGACATACATAGGTATTGACAGTGATTTTCAGGGTATAAAAGATTCAGCCTGGCAGGTTCAAGAATTCTATTTTTTAGGTTTACCTAGAGTTAAATGGGTCTGGCACCAAATTCATAAGTAACCAGTCTCATCCATTCAGTTTCTCATGGAACCCCATCACACCATAGGCAACAGCAGCCGGCCTCCCAGGACGACAAGGATCTTTCCCCTCACCTTGCTGCTGGGGAATCTAGGGAAACATTTCTAGGGAGGATGAACTATAGCAGCCAGCCTGGCAGGACTCAGAGAGAAGCATCTTCTTCTCTCTCTTTTTTTTAAATATTAATTTTTAATTAAAAAAATTTTTTTTTGACGGAGTATTGCTCTGTTGTCCAGGCTAGAGTGTAGTGGCACAGTCCAAGCTCACTGCAGCCCCGGCCTCCTAGGCTTAAACTCCCCTTGCACCGCAGCCTCCTGAGTAGCTGAGACTACAGGTGTGCACCGTTTTGCCTGGCTATGAGAGCCATCTCCTTTTTCTTTTTTTCAGACAGAGTCTTGCTCTGTTGCCCAGGCTCGAGTGCAGTGGCACGATCTTGTTCAGTACAACCTCTGCCTTCTGGGTTCAAGCGATTCTCCTGCCTCCACCTCCTGAGTAGCTTGGATTACAGATGTGCACCATGAAAACAGGCTACTTTTTTTTTTTTTTTTTTTTTTTTTTTTAGTAGAGACTGGGTTTCGTCATGTTGATTGGGCTGGTCTCAAACTCCTGACCTCAAGTGATTCACCTGCCTCTGCCTCCCAGAGTGCTGGGATTACAGGCGTGAGCCACTGCACCCGGCTCAGAAGCATCTTCTTATAAGCCTAAGGAATCATTCCTGTTGTCAGCACTTGGTTCACCTTGGAGCCGTAAGTCTAGTTAAGCCCCTCTGGTGCTTGCTTTGTTTTTGCTCTATTTCTCATCCATTACCCAGTGTACAAGCACCACAGTCACCATTATCTAATTTCTGCAGGTCGCACCTTTGACTTTTTTCCATTGCTTACTTTTCCCCCATCATTTCCCCCTGTAGTTTCTCTTAGAAACTTTTTTATATGTCTCATTGAATTTCTCTTTCTATAATGAACCAACTTTTAAAAAACCCTCAGCCTCTTCACAGAAGTCTGTATCTGTATTCTTTTTTTTCCCCTTAAAATAAAGCCACAAAACCTTCAAGCAGATCTTTCACAGACCCTTGTTGCCCTTGTGAAGCAGGTGGAAACAGTAACTGCTGTGTTGTGGGTGGTCGAGGGCTCTAGTCTTCGCTGCTCCGGAGGCTGAGGTAGGAGGAGCCATTGAACCTGGATGATGGAGGCTGCAGTGAATCAAGATCACGCCACTGCACTCCAGCCTGGGCGACAGAGTGAGACTCAAAAAAAAAATTGTGCAAATTGTTTCTTCCATTTGGTTCTTGGAAGACAAGAGGGAAGTCTTCTTTATGTTTTCTCTATTACTCCAGTGAATGCTATAGACAAGGGTACAGCTCTTTATTTAGAAATCTGTTTCAAGAAAATATGAACCATTATATTTAACTTATATTGTTTTTATATTTGCGTTTGAAGGCTGTCTGAAGTGAAGACGTGGAAATTAATACTATTTTAAATTTTCTTAAGGTATTATTCTTTTCACCATTCATATTTTGCGGGATAAAAGCTTTTAAAAATATGTCTGTGCTGGGTACATTTTTAAAGGAAATTTTTTTAGGCGTTTATTAACCTGAACAAAACTAACTAAATAAAAAGAACAAGCTGTAAGAAGGGACTGTTGAGAACAAAAATACTCTGAATTTGCATTAAAACTTTGCTACTTTACGTTGGGCACAGTGGCTCACACCTGTAATCCCAGCCCTTCGGAAGACCGAGGCTGGCGGATCACCAGGTGAGGAGATTGAGACCATCCTGGCTAACATGGTGAAACCCTGTCTCTACTAAAAATAAAAATATTAGCCGGGTGTAGTGGCATGCACCTGTAGTCCCAGCTCCTCGGGAGGCTGAGGCAGGAGAATCACCTGAACCTGGGAGGCGGAGGTTGCAGTGAGCTTAGATGGCGCCACTGCACTCCAGCCTGGTGACAGAGCGAAACTGTCTCAAAAACAAAAAACAAACAAACAAAAACTTTGTTACTTTATTTGGTCATTTGACATTAATATTCCATGATGGCCATGATTTTTGGCTTAAAGTTCTGGTCTGCCTTAGAATTTTAAAGCCAAATTTAAGAAAAAGGAAATAATTTTTGCCCCAAAGCCAGTATAATTTCACATCATTGCCCAGGCTGGTCTGAAACTCCTTCCTAGGCTCAAGCTATCTACCTTCCTAGGCCTCCCAAAGAGTTGGGATTAAAAGGGCGAGTTGCTGCACCTGGCCTCTTCTTTCTTTCTTTTCCTTCTTTCTTTCTTTCTGCTCTGTCGTGCAGGCTGGAGTGCAGTGGCACAATCTCAGCTCACTGCACCCTTCACCTCCCTGGTTCAAGCAATATTCCTGCCTCAGCCTCTTGAGTAGCTTGGTCTACAGGCGCATGCCACCCCACCTGGCTAATTTTTTTGTATTTTTAGTAGAGATGGGGTTTCACCATGTTGGCCAGACTGGTCTCGAGCTCCTGACCTCAGGCAATCCACCCGCCTTGGGCTCCCAAAGTGCTGGGATTATAGGCCTGAGTCACGACACCCGGCTTTCTCTTTTTTGAAAAAATTAATTTCAACTTTTGTTTTAGATTCAGTGGGTACATATGCAGGTTTGTTACATGGGTGTATTAGTTTATTCTCACGCTGCTGATAAAGACATACCTGAGACTGGGTAATTTATAAAGAAAAGAGGTTTAATTGACTCAGTTAGGAAACTTACAACCATGGCAGAAGGCACGGGGAAGCAGGAGATAGAATGAGAGCAGAGCGAGTGGAGAAGCCTCTTACAAACCATCAGATCTCAGGAGAACTTACTATTATGAGAATAGCATGAGGGAAACCACCGCCGTGATTCAGTTACCTCCCACTGGGTTCTTCCCACAATATGTGGAGATTATGGGAAGTACAATTCAAGATGAGATTTGGGCGGGGACACAGCCAGACCATATCAGTGGGCATATTGTGTGAATTAGTTTTAATCATGCACCTCAATTTTTCTTTTAATTTTTGGGTTTTCTTATT